GAATGGTTCCAATCATGACAATGGACACTTGCAGGCACTCTATGGTTTATAGGGGCCTTGACTAACACTATCTTATTTTATCCCAAATGCTGACAGTGGTTCACCGTGCCTATCTACACTGTCATTTTGGATTTAGGTAATTCAGTCACATATATGATTTTTAAAGATACAGAAGTATAGAACACAAACAGGCCTCATAGTTATCTGAATTTCTCCCTCGCTTTGTGCTAAGGAGACTTACTCTCTGGTGATGGGAGGTTCAAGACAGGGCCAAGGTCAGCCCAGCCTTCCCGTCCACACTTGCAGCATATAAACCAGGGCCTGAGTAAATGCAACTGAAGTCTTGGGATTAGCCAAGGGCCCATAAATACTTGGGAAGCACAGGAGGATGAAAGAAGTATGAACTCATTAGCAACATTATACTTTTGCACTTGAATGGATCTCAGGATAACGTTACTATCACTGTTTCTCTTGTAACAGCATTGTACTTCTGTGCTTAATGGGGATTATATAAGCAAATATCAAGTGGTATTGATATGAATATTTAGAAAATTAGGTCTTGTATTTATAATTCTTCCTTTCGAACAGAATTCATACAGATGTTCAGTTGTTTTGTTGGGGGGTGATACAGCCAGCCAAGACCAGCCCAGACAAAAAAAAAAATGATTCTTAAGAATGTGCACCCATCCTTAGAAAGTGCGACTTTGATTTTTCTACTTTACATATATTCTGTATTGTTAAAGAAAAATTGTCTTACAATGAGGATGAATTATTTAACAAAGTAAGTTTTACTTAGCAGACACCTTTGATTGATTTATAATTATTGAATTGAACTTTCTATTTTTTTAATTGCCCTTTATACCTACTGAATCTGCCCAAGGCAAGGGAAGGGGTATGGGCCAGGAAATCGGGCGGACTCGGGGTGATAATGGCTGTGTGATTAACCTCTGAGCTTCCTCTGCTCCATACCCATAGGGGTAATATCTCCATTCACCAGTCACCAATACTGGTGACAGGATCCCACCGCCCATGCGAAAGCTCCGTGAACTCAATAAAGTCAATTTCTTTCCTTCCTGCAATATTTTAACATGATTGAAACATAATGTAAATTGTGCCCAAGATTTAGAAAAGAACGAATATTCCTACTTACGTTGGCCTCAGTTGGGAGTCTACAAAAGCGCTCAGAACACACTTTTTCAGGGAAAGGCAGCCCCAGACAGGAAATTTTTGTTGGAGAGGAGGACAGACTCTGGAGGCTGCATTAGGCACATGTGCAACGATATTCCTATTCCAGGAAGGCTCCAGGCAGAGAGGTTAGGGACGGGCCGTCCCTGATAAACCCACTGGCAATTCTGTGCCAATGGGCAAGCTAACAAGACTTCCTGGGGTGGGAGCTTCTGACGGTCCGAAGTCACTCTCTACAGTACAATCTTGCTGCCCTATCTTGCCTCCCTCTGCTTCCCAAACATGTGAGATGAAACACAGGGAGTGCAGTGTATGTGTACAACATGCATGTTATACTTCACAGTCTGCTTACACGTTTTACCACAAACCCTTGTGACAGGGTCACTGTCTACACCGCTGCACGTGAATGTACATTGCACGCCGACTGCGATTACTCACCAAACTGGTTGGCCCTGCAGTGTCTCAGGGTCCGGACGGTGTCGGCAATCATATGCTGGAAGGCAAGCAGGAAGCAGGTCAGTGGGAGGGTCACTGCGGGTGCGGCCCAAGGAGCATGCTTGCCGGGACCAATAGGTAGTTACACCCTGGGGTGTAACTTGGAGCTGGACTTTAAGTGATAATACTGAGCTTGGGTTACAGAAGAGTATTTAGTCCTTGTCTGTAGAAACAGTGGCTCCCCCACCCAGTTGCACGATTCTAACGGAGCCCCGGGAAAACAAAGATGCAGCTCTCCTCCGCCCGGGTCCACCCGTCCCGATGTGCTAAGGCTTTGCCCTCCAGGGGGCGCTCCGCCTGCCCCTCCCCCAGGAGGCCTTACTGAGCTCCCCCTGTGAACCTGGGAGGTGTCGCTCTCAACCTCCTCACTGTCCTTTGTACACTGCAATGGGCTTTGTGTTGTTGCATTTGTTGTGGAGCTTTCCCTGTAGACCAGGTCCCGCCGGCCGGCTCTGCTTGCCAGCGTCTACCAGCTGTCATGAACGTTGACTCCCGCCACCTGCCGGATGGAGGTTGGCATTTTTGTGGAATCAAAGGTTCACGTGTCTCAACTGGTGAGAGGAAGGGAGGCATTCACGAAAGACAAACATTTTCTAGAACCTCCAGATCTTCACAAAAATGTATAATTAGATTCCCTCTTACACTCTTCAGTGTTCTACTTCAACGTCTTTCTTTACAGTCCTCCCTGGTCTCCAGGCAAAAGTCTTCTTAAACTCGCGGCTGCTTCGGACGAGATCCCACCGCCTCCTATTGGTGCCCCTGCAACCGTCTTCTAAGTGCCGTCACGCTCGGTTTTCCACGATGGAAGAAATACAGCATTTAGGGCAAGGCCACTCTCCGCTCAAGTTCCCCCATCACATTCCAGAACAATCTCCAGACACTCTCGTCCTGCTCTAGTCTTCGGGAAAGTCGCAGTGACTCCCTAATCGTTTCAGATCAAGATCCAAACATCATCCCATTATTCAGGCATCCACACTGTTCATTACCTGGTGCCCCAAACCCCTCCAGGTGGCATCACCTGCCATGCCCTGTGCGTGTGCACTGAGCCCAGGGTCGTGCATACACAGCAAACGCACAGGGGACCACTGCTGTCATAAGTTAATACCACAGAACTATAGAAACTGTAGTATGTGAATGTGACCTACTTATTAAATTGTTCTCACAGCTGTATTTCTAAGTGGTGGCACATTAAATAGGACAGGGATTAGAGCAGGAGCTCCGTTGCATGTGTGAAGGAAACAGGCCTGACTCATGTCTGCGAGTGTATTGTTAAGTTTCCTTCCCTCGTGGCCACTGTTCCCGGCAGTCCCTCGGCGTCACATTGATTTCTATTGTGTGCCATTTTCGCAGGACTCAGTCCTGAGCGTGGAACCCGAGCCCTGATCCTCATCGTTAGGCTTCCTGAAGGCGGAGAGAGGACGATATGGTGAAAAGATGATGCTCTTCCCATTGAGGGATGGAGAGGAGGAAGGGGAGAGCATTTGTTTCTCCATGAGGTCACAGGTTGGACTGGAACGCGGAGAGCCACTGAGGCAGCGTGGGGAACAGTGGGAATCTCATTAGGCCCGCTGAGCGCTCCTGGGTCTTCTGAGTTAATGTGTCGGCCTGAATCAGCCCGATAAAGATAATGCACTGAATTCTCTGCTAGCTGGTTAAGCTAATATCCGTCATGAGGAATCGACTCCCCACAAGTTAATTCAGTTACGTCCTATCGGTTCATTATTGTGAAAGATGATCCTGTTTTAGCGTAAGTGAAACCTTGTTCTTTGCTAAGAAATATCCTTAAAAACACTGCCTCTCCTAGGAAATTCAGTTTCATTCCCCGGCATCAGAGTATAACATAGGTTATGTACAATAGATATTTGCCCTTCTAGAAAATTCTAACGTCACCCCGTCTTTTCTGTGCAAGGAGGGGGTCAGCAGCAGGTGTGCTGTATCTTAAATGCCATCTACTTCGAGGACTAGGAACCCACTGTGTGTCCTAGGGCCTCATATAACGTAGCTTCTGTCTTCTTAATAAAAGTTCTCTTTAGGAATTTAAAATTGAAAATAAGGTATTACTTACATATATGCTATGCTATTTCCGTAAACCTTCTTAAAGAATTAAGGGCCCAGATAATTACTGACCACAGTAGGTGTACACCTAGGTAGAATTTCTTAGTTTTAGCCCTAATGGTTAGTATAACATCTTAGTACTTATGAAAGCAAGACCCTGGGTGACATCAGCAGGCGTTGAAGGCCTTCCCCGGGGCTGCTCGGAAAAGCAGGGAAGACCAAGATGCTGGTCAGAAACAAGGAGAGCAGGGGGCCGGGGCCCCCTCCATCGCTCATTCCCCTTTGTGCCGTTATTGAATTGTTCTCTCCCTCTGCAGCACTTAGGGGAAATGACACAATGAGCTTAACCAAACCACTGGTTCGCTCGGGAGAGGGTCAAGCACCAGTCAGCCCTTAACAATGGGTAACCGTCTGCGTACAGAGTGCAATTGTCCTCCCATATTCCAAGGAAACTTACTAGACCTTTATAGGGGATTCCACCTGGCGTGACAAGCCCCACCCTATATCCTCACACAGGCTCTCCAAAGCTTATCTGATGCATTGGCCAGGATTTGGAGTAAATATCCACCAAAGGTTTGATATTCCTGCAATCCTCCCATTAATACCAAACATCGGAGATTAATCTGCCTAAAAACAAGAATGTTGGTGCCTACAGCCTTTCGTTGCAAATAGCTGCCCTGTGATCTTCAGAACATTACACAGTGACACAGAACACACCTTCAAAGAATAAGTACGGAAACCCCAACACTTTAAATGCCCATTCCCAGCTGTGTTGGTTTGACTGTATGTAGTATCTAAATAACTGAGCTCTGATTCCAAAGCACTTAGTGCAGAGAGAGACTTGGAAAGTTATAGGCATGTCCACTTTAAAAATAACGAGCCATAGAGGGGTGGTCCTCGGGGGTTACACCTACGGCAAGAAGCCTGACTCCTGCCTTCAGACCCTAGGTGCATGGTCCTTGGGTTGTACGGTGGCCCTGTGCCCTCTCACCCTGTGTGTGGCGAGTTAGAGCAGGGCACTCGGGAGGCAAAGGTCAGACGCCAAACCTTGTGTGGACTCAGCAGTTTGCACTGTTCTGTGGTCATGGTCTGCGTCCCCCACCTCACTCCCCCTGCCCCTCCCTCCTCCCAGGGAACCGGGGGTCGTTTCCTGAAAGAGTTCACACAAATCCATCACCACGACTGAAAGGTCAGAGGCCAGGATCTATGGACAGGGGTCACTGGTATCGTTCTTAACCATGAAGGACAATCTAATTCATGACTAAAGTTCATCGGTCAGACACATCCATCCTTCTTGTCGTCCACCGGGGCTCCTTGGAGCACTCCTATTTTATACTCGCTCAGTTCTGACAGGCAACTCCTCCTCTGCCCGGGGCGTGGCTGGCACAGAGGCCAGGAGGAGCCCGCGCAGAACAAAGCCCCGGCCACGTCCTGGGAATAACTCGAGAGAATCCCTGTGGAAAAGCTCTGGCTGGGGACCTTTCTCCTGTCAGAACGGCCTCTCCACGGTGGCCCCCTCTGTCCACAGGCTGATGACAGGGGGTCCTTCCCCTCACATGCTGGCCCTTCCCATCCCCCCTTCCTACCCACGCTGGGAGGACTGGGAGGTGGGCACCTCCCCAGGAGAGCAGTGCATGCTGGGACACAGAGAGACACTGTTCAAGCTGTAAAACTCAACCTCAGGAGTGTGAATTCCCCCGACAGGACTCTTACGTTTTATTTTTGGTTCAATAGCATACCCTCCGTTGCTGATGCTAACCTAATGAAGTTCCATTTTTTAACACTAAAAAGCAGATTTTTTATATTTGGTCCTCAGAACCTTGCTAGCCACGTAGTTTTAATTGCAATACATTTTATTGACAATGCACCACCTGCAGCAAATAGCTCCTGGAAATCATCACGTGTTCACTGAAGAAAAGGGCTGCATCCACTGGCTTCTTGGTGCAAAAGGGAAAAGCATACACTTGAAAAGGGAGAAACAATGCGAGCTACTTACCAGCTTCTCAAAATTGACGAGATTATCCAAAAACGTTTTATTTCCCTCGTGAATAAATGTTACATCTGGAAATTAAAAGCAAAAAGATACATGTACCATTAGGAATGGATCAGGAGTCAGGGCTGAAGAGGTCTTGATGCAACATCCCTTATTCATTTTTCTTAAACATTATGGATTGGCCCATGCATTTGACACGGCACCTTGAAATTGAATCTGTGCATTATTCGAAATGAAAGGGCATCATTTATGTGTGTGTGAGTGGGGTGGAGTGGGGGGAGAAAACGTTATAACATTAACGCAAGTACATATTTTGCACTGACAATGAAGTGTTTGACTCTAACTTGCTTCATATAAACTAAGACTTAATACTATTCTATGACCTGGCAGGTCCATTATGTTTTTAGGTCAGACCATCAAGCAGAAAACAACAGAATCTCCAGAAATAATATCTTAATATTTATGTATTTTTTTAAAACAATTTTTGGCAAAGTGTAGGGAACCTGCTTTATATAAAATGTTGAGACTTAGATTTAGGTGTCTCATGTAGATTTCTGGCTCTCCAAGTCAGTGCCTGACTATGTACCAGACGTGAGTAGAGAAGGAGGTAGGTTTGAAAATGGCAAGGTCCCCGGCCATGTTCGCCCGGTAGAAAGGAAACACCGCCGATGAAGATAACCTGAGGACAAAGGTTGAAGGCTCATGGGGAGAGGAAGGAAGTGTTATGTTTGGCTTGAGCGTCACTGCATTGAAAGTGACAGAAGATCTTCAAACACAGGTCTCCTTGTGGTTGCACGAAACAGAGGTGCCCTCCCAGGAGACAGGGCTGTAGGAATTGGGCACAACGAAGGCAGCAGCGGAAGCTATGAGAATGGATGATGCAAACGTTCAGATCAGAGGGTCCATGACGGAGCATGAGGGAATCCTCACTGACAAGAACCAGAGTAAGAAATACATGGCAACTTGAAGAGCATGAAAATAATCAGGTTTCGTCACAGACACGGAGGGCCAACCAAATGAAAATAATTTCCAAAAATCGATTAAAACAACCTGATGTAAAAGAGGGAAGAGGACACTGTACAAGCCCTGCAGATAGAAAGGAAAAGCACTGGCATTTAATCAAGACTCTGATCCTGCTGGCTCGCCGGGGGGCAAGTAAGAGCTAGGTGCTCGGAAACCTGCCCACAACACACTGGGCCACCTAACTCTGCCCACTGCGGGGCGACACGAGTTCTACATACACTTTCCTCGAGGCACCCCTTACACAGCTTCCAGCACCCACTGCAACGTTTCCCTAAGCCTTTTTCCTTTTCTTTCTTTTTCCTCTTTAAACTGATGTCCTAGCAGAAAACAATGCAGTGACACAGGCGTCTGACAAAGTCTCTGGCTATTGTACCACCTTTCATGATTTTGCTTTCAGAAAAGACTCGCAAGTTTTCACTGTGCGACGGTATTTAGGAAAGAGCAGCCAACACAGGTAGCTTCCACCTTTTTTGTTTGGCAAACACAGCAACATGTGCATGCTCTCCCCGCGAACCACCGCCTACAGGCCTGGTCTCTCCGAATGGCCGGAGAATTCGGGTGACAAACGCCCTCTGACTGCCATCCCGCTCCTGTGATCCCAAGGATGACAGTGAGGGGCGATGAAAACAGTGACAGCTTATATTTACTGACAGCGTCCGACGCGACATTAACGCATCGAATCTTCACAAAGGACCAAAGGTAAAGCCCCGGCAGGACAGAATGCGGAGGAACACTGGTCCAAAGAACATGCACAGCTGTCCCACGCTCACAGCTCTACACGTCACAGCCAGGATTCCAACCCGGGGAGCCCAGTCCCCTCACCACTGTCCCTCTGGTACCTCACCCGCTGGCGGGACTTGACGTTTCTTACAACCCGTCACAGTCAACATGCCGGTTTCCCGGCACAGGGGGCGCCTGCAGCCACGGCTCTGCTTCCTGGGGGGCCTCACTTACCCTCCATCTCAGGACTTGTCAGGGGAGCAGAGGAGAGGGCTGCTCTCTGAGGGCGGGGCGGGCAGGCAGATGCTGATGGGAATAAGGCCCGGAAGCTTCTGGCAGGTGGGGAGGGAGGAGAAGCAGGAGAAGGGGGTTCAGGTGACTGAGGGTTCGGACCCTTTTGCGTGGCAGGGGTGTGATGGGAAAGGTGTGAGAGATAAACCAGGAGATGGCTGAGCTCAGACACTGGCACCTCAGAGCGGAAGTCACGGGTGTGAAGCAGCGCAGGTGGGAATGGCAGGTGCCAGGCCCCTTTTATCCGGAGTCGCCCGGACACACTCCAAACACTTCACAGCACAGAACTGCGGGTGAAAGGCTCCATCTGAAGAGATGGCAAGTAGAAGAGAGAGAAGACACACACAAGCACCCCGCCATTCCTTTTAGTTAAATACCCCACAAAACTGCAACACTGACCCTACTCTAAGGCACGTACACAACCCGCAGGGACTCAGTTTACCTTCACACACCTGTCGTGTATTCCCTCTGTGGGAAGGGACCACCATCTCCAAAAACACCACTTTCTACAGACTATTCAGCTGCTTGGGACCGTGAGCCTCAACACTTCTGTAGGGTTTCCCGCTTCCGTAACAGATTCCA